TTTCTCCAACCAACAGCCAATCTCTGTTGGCTCCTCTTCCACTCTTCCTATGAATTTTTACTTCTAGCTTCTCTCTTCCTCTTTCCTGAATATCACATACTACACTACCTCTGTTCTCTCATCCACTATTTGAAATTGTAAACTGTTTTAACAAATTTTCTGTTTATACTATAGTTATTGAACTCATCATTTTGGTTTAATGTGAGAAGGCAGTAGATGCCTTAGTGGGAGCTATTGGGTTTAAGGCTCTATATTGTGTACACTGGGTGCTGTTGATATTGGTCTCACCATTAAAGGCGAGGTGCTGGAAACCTTCAGGGACACTATATGTCTAAAGGGTAGAATTTATGCTGCCTCAGATCCATATTTTTAGATGGGAAAACACACTAACATGAAAAAACAAGGGCATAAAGCACCCCCCAAAAATTAGGATGATTCAATAACAGAAGCCACTGATAACCCAATAGAAGAAATATCTAAAAAGGATTTCAGATTGCACATAGTTAAATTGATATGTGAAGTAGGGGATAGTATAAAAAGTGAAATCAAAGAAAAAATACAGAAAGTGAAAGATCATTTCAATAAAGAGTTTGAGATTGTGGAAAAAAAACATAGAAATCCTCGAAATGAAGGCATCAGGAAGCCAAATTATAAATTCAATAGAAAGCATCACCAACAGACTAGACCACTTGGAAGACAGAACCTCAGACAATGAAGACAAAATACATAATCTTGAAAAGTTGACCATGCAGAGAAGATGGTAAAAAACCATGAACAGGTGAAATGTGATGGTCATCATTATCAAAAGTACATGTATGAAGAGACAAATTGGTGTCAACAAACTTTATATACAACCAGAGATATGAAAAATTGTGCTGTATATGTTAATAAGAATAGTAATGCATTCTGCTGTCATTTATTTTTTTTAAAAAATCAATAAAAAAGAAAATATTAAACTCAATATATTTGTCTATGTAAATTGAAAAATATGATAAAGTAAAATAATCATTAATAACTTAAAAAAAAAGAAAAGAGACCATGAGCAGAACATCCAAGAACTATGGGATAACATGAAAAGACCAAATTTAAGAATTATTGGAATACCTGAAGGAGCAGAGATACAAACCAAAGGAATGCACAATCTTTTCAATGATATAATAGCAGAAAATTTCCTAGACCTAAAGAAGTAAAGGGACAATAACGACCATCATAAAAGCACAAGAAAAAATAAATAAAACAGAGAAATATACAAATGAAAAAAAAGAAAAACATCAAAATCTATCACTAAAGAAAACCACCAAATTGGGGCCGGGGTTGTGGCTCAGTGGTAGAGTACTCACCTAGCACGTGCAAGGCCCTGGGTTCAATCCTCAGCATTACATAAAAATAAATAAAATAAAGGTATTGTGTCCAATTACTACTAAAAAATAAATATTGTTTTTTTAAAAAAGAAAGAAAACCACTAAATCACAAAGATAAAAAAGAGGAAAAGAACAAAAAATATAGAAAATAATCAGAAAACAGTTAACAAAATAGGAGGAGTAAATTCTTATGTATCAATAACAACCTTGAATATAAACAGATTAAATTCCTAAACAAAATATATAGAGTGCCTGGATAGATTTAAAAAAAAAAAAGACCTAAGGATAGGCTGCCTATAGGAAAACTCACTCCATCAGTAAAGATACCCATAGACTACATTAAGTGTAGCTTTGGGGAAAGATATTCTATGCAAATGGAAACCCAAAACAAACAGGAATGGCTTACTTAGATCAGATAAAATGTACTATATGTAAAAATCTGTAAAAAAAAAAAAAAGAGAGAGAGAGAAAGAGGATAATATGTAAAAATAAAAGGGTTCAACTAGACAAAAGGAAATTATAATTGTAAATATATATGCACCAAACACTAAGAGACCCAGTTATATAAAGCAACCATTGGTGCATATATATTTACAATTATAATTTCCTTTTGTCTAGTTGAACCCTTTTATTTTTATATATTATCCTCTCTCTCTCTCTCTCTCTCTCTCTCTCTCTCTCTCTCTCTTTTCATACCTCACTTTCATCAATTGAAAGATCATCTACACACAAAGAAAAAAAAATCAACAAGAAGAAATATGGATTTAACCTATACTGTAGGCTAAAGGGAACTGACAGAGCATTCTGTTCAATAGCTGAAGGATTCGAATTCTTTTTATCAACACCAGGAATATTCTCCATAATAAACCACATAGTAAGCCACAAATCAACAAATTAAAACAAATAGAAATGATTGCATGACCACAATGAGATAAAACTAAAAGTAAACAAAGAGAACTTTTTAAATTATACAATTACATGGGGAAAAAATAATGTGCTCTTGAATAACCAATCAGTCAATGAAGAGATCAGAAAGGAAATTTTAAAATTTCTTGATTCAAGTAAAAACTGGACACACACAACACATCAATGAGCCTGGGCTCCAACAGCAAAGGCAGCATCAAGGGAGACGCTTATTGCACTGAGAACCTACATCTCAAAAGGGGAACAATTTGAAATAACATAGCAATGCAACTCAAGAAGCTGGAAAAGTAAAAAAAAAAAAAAAAAGACAAATCCCACAATTACTTAGAAAGAAATAATAGAGATCCAGTAGAAATAAATGAAATGGAGACCAAAGCATGCATAAGACAAATGAAATAAGGAGTTGGTTTTTGAAAACATGAACAAAACTGATAAACCTTTAGCCAGGCTAACCAAGAAAAAAGAGAGAAGACCCAAATAAATAAAATCAGAGATGAAAAAGAAAACATTAAAACTAAATGCCACAGAAATATAAGGGATCATTAGGGAATATTAGAAACAACTGCATGCCCACAAATTGGAAAACCCAGAAGAAATTAATAAATTTCTGAGCACACATAACGTACTAAAACTGAATCACAAAGACAATGGTAAACCTGAGCAGATCAGTAATGAGCTATGAGTTGAATCAGAAATAAAAAGTGTCCCAACAAAAAAAATTCTAGGACCTGGTGGCTTCACTACTAAATTTTGGACAATTTTTAAAGAACTACAAATTCTCAAATTATTTAAAAAAAAATTTAAAAGGAAGGATTTCTGTCAAACTCATCCTACAAGGCCAGCATTAGCCTGATACCAAAATTAGATGAGGCCATAACAATAATAAAAATGAAAACTATAGGTCAATAGCCTTAATGAACAATAGATGCAAAAATTCTCAACAAAATACTAGCAAAGTAAATCCAATAGCACATAAAAAAATTATATACCATACGAGGCATATGTATGAATATATCACAATTTATTCCAATTTTATATATAATTATAATGCACCCATTAAGAAATAAATAAGAAGGAAGGAAAATTTTTTTAAAAATTAAGTAAAAAGGAAGACCAATGACGTAGAGAAAGGAGATACACAATTAACATGCCAAAAAGTTCATTTTTGCAAAGCAATGATATACTGGCTGAAAAGAAATAAAAATTTAATCCCGTTCACAATACCACATAGAAAAAATCTAGAAATAGATTTAACCAAGAAAGTGAAGGGACTCCAATGAAAATTATAAAATACTGATGAAAGAAACACAGAACACACACACACACACACACAAATGAAACACTATCTCATGTTCATGGATTGGAAGGACTGATCTTGTTAAAATGCTCATACTACCCAGGATCTATAGATTCAATATAATCCCCATCAAAATACCAATGAAATTCTACACAGAACCGGATGGTACAATCACAAAATTCATATGGTACCACAAAATGCCCAGAACAGCCAAAGCAATCTTGAAGAAAGATTGAAAAAAGAATAAAGCTAGAAGCGTTAAAATAGGTGACCTCAAGGCAATGCAGAGCTATAGTGATCAAAACAGCGTGATACTGGCATAAACACCCCCCCATAGATGAAAAGAACAGAATGAATCCATGTAACCACCCAGACATGAATCCATGTAATTTCAATCATTGGCTTTCAACAAGGCTTTAAGAATACATGTTGGACAAAGGACAGTCACTTCAGTAAACTATGCATTAAAATGAGACTAGAGCCCCACCTCTCACCCAGCATGCAAAAATCAACTCAAAATCTGTCAAGAACCTAAGAAGTTAAGGCCCCAAATTATGAAGCTACCAGAAGAAAATATAGGGGCAATACTGAGTACCTTGGTCTGGGCAAGATTCTATGGAGTGACCTCAAGGTTATTGACAAAAAAAAAAAAAAACATTGACAAAGGGAATTCAAAAGCTTCTACAGAGAAATGGAAACTGTCATTCCAGTGCTGAGACCACCTACAGAATCGGAAGACACATCTGCAAACCATTTACCTGGCAAAGGGTTAATATCCAGAATCAATAAGGAACTCAAAAGCTCAACAACAGAACATCCAGGTTCAGTGGATTTCATCACACCATGCAGAATGGCACTCAATTCAAAATTAGGAAATTGATGTAAATTGCAATATTGAATTTCTGGAAATTTCCATTTAATATTTCCAGACCACAGTTGACACCAGGTAACTAAAACAATGGAAAGCAAAAGCAAGAACAAGGGTGGAATACTGTCATAACTAGAAAAGGCACCTATTCTTTGTCCCAGAGAACTATTGCCACGCTTAGTTATATCTTCAGAGCCAAATGACATGTTTGATGATACGAAAAGTCAGAGCACTAAAAAAAATGAAAAGCCTCTCCATCACATTTGGAATTCAGTTTTATTTTTAAAGACACAAGTTTATGCATACTTTCAGGGAAAAAAAATGAAAATGCAGAAGTCATTGGAAGAGTCAATAATACAAAGCTGGTTATAGCAGTAATTAAAGTAATAGTGATATTTTACTAGAATAAAAATGTCACAATTCACATCACAGTTGAATCATCAATGACTCAAGCGTTGGGCTCCCACACAGAGGGGGCAGGTCAGTTTGAAGATGAAATCCCTGGGCTGGAGAAACTGTTGCCAATCAAGTCCTTCCTTATCACCGTCCATCAGTTCACGGTAGGATAGCAGGCTGCCGTAGCAATTCCACAGACGTTGTTCTGGTCTCGGGCGATCTTTATGTAGCCATCCATGCCCCATCCTTTACTCCAACTAAAAGAAGAGTAAGTTTTCCATTTCATAGGAAAAATAAAGCACATTGGCTTTATTAACAATAACACCTAATTTAGACACTGTCCCAGAAACCATAGACTTAACAGAATGAAGAGAAGCAGATATTCTTGTTCATTCTCTATAAACTGCTGAATCTAAATTGACACTTAACTTCCACCCCTGAGTCCAAACAATTATCTTATACAGGATTGTAAAATCAGAGACAGAAAAAGGACAGGATGTCTTTGCAGTCCAATGTGTTTCAGAAGTATGAAAATTTTCAGAATTCAGAAAAGCAACGGCAGACGTGCCATATTTTAATACCCCAAGGAGCCTGGAACAATATCTTAATGTTATCAGCATGCATTAATATTTCCTCATTCAACCTAAGAGGGATAAATATTTCTAGGACCTATAACTAAATACTGACTGCAAACAAGAATTCCTTCTTGAATGTCAAACATACATGCTTTGGGCAATGCATACCTGTTCTTGACCAGCCAGTATTTATTTTTATTCGGGTTTGTTCCTTCGAAACCATAGCCAACCAGCAGAACACCATGATTCAGCTCACTGCTTTTGCAGTCTGGGTCATAATAAATGCCTGGAGATAAAATCAAAGCTGGGGTGAAAGCTCCAGGAACAGTGGCAGTGACCCCTTGTCACCAACAATAAGGAGGCATTTCCAAATTCACTGAGATGATACAAACTTACAATCAAGCTCTACTGTAATCAAAGCTAGGCATTCAAGAGCTGATATTAAACTAGCAGAAATACAAATTAGCATATTTCCTTCTGTTTAAATTAGCATAAATCCTTCTGTTTTTAAACAGAAGGATTTATACTAATTTGTATTTCTAGGTGCATAAAAGACCACTAGGTGCATAAAAGACCACTCTTTGAAACACTGTAATTCTATTTCTAGGATGTCCATCTAAGAAAACAGCACAAAACACAAAATTACTTGAATCAAAAAGCTCCTTTAAGATTTAATTGCATAAATAAAAATGTAGGTAAATTTTAAATAATTGGAGAAAATAAGAGGGAATTAAGCTAATTAAGCAGCTTTTTAAAAAAAATATGCAGTACTCACATTCATGGGATCTGCTTGAAGAAAGGTCGAGTGGAAACATCAAGTATATATATTACATGTACAGAATTTGAAATCCAGGCACCCAAATATTTACCAAAAATTTACATACCCAAGAGTCCCTCAAGCTGGTATGTCATGGTGGCATTACAGTTTTTCTGTGCCCGTTTCTAGAAAGAAATATGCTCACCTTTTTTATAGAACTGGAAGGACCTCAAGCTTGCATCGATAGAAACAGAGATGGGCCCAACAGATGCCACTGCCTTCTTAAGGGCTTCCTCGTGCTTTGGAATGTATATTACGCCTGTGTCATTAGCGACAGAATTCTCAGGTTTGTACCTACAGGATCCATCCTTTTAAAGGTAAAGCAGGGAGACAGTTGATTAATGCCATCCACCTGTGGGGGAACATGTGTTAGAACCCCAACACCCAGCAATTTGCAGCTTAAGATTTCCATGTCAGTGCTATTATAAATTATCCCAGGCAGTGACATGCTGTTAAATTGATTTGAAACTGAAAATTAGCTCACATATCTTCAATGAGACCCTCTAGGTCTTCCCATCCATAAGAACTTCCCACAACAGAGGAATCTGTGTTAAACGTGGAACGGTTGGCATGTTCTCCATGTTCCACAGAGGCAAGAACAAGATATATGAAAGGATCTCAGGAAAGAATGGCCAAGGCTGAAGACTTCTATGACATTGGTGGTTTACAGAGGGTGAAGATAGACTCTACACTTCAACTTGGGAATTCTGAAGGAATTCTTGGGAATTCTGAAAACGTGCCATTTTTCCAAAAGCAGATATGGACTGTCAACAACATGAGAAGCTCTGTTTACCTTGGCCTCGTATGGATAGGAGTCCTCTGAGTCCAGGCCGCCGTTGTCCTTAATATACTGGAAGGCAAAATCCATCAGGCCACCACTGCAGCCCATATTGCCCTGGGCCCTGGAACAGTCGACGAGGTTCTGCTCACTCAGCGAGATGAGTTTGCCCGTTTTCCGGAATATCTGTCCTTCCAGGGCCCCAGTGGCACTAAAAGCCCAACAGGAACCACAGTGACCCTGCAAAAGGAATAAAACAAACTGTCAACCATAAAACAAATAGCAAAACTCGGACAACAATTCACATAGCCAAATACTCTCCAAAACAGTGAACTGCGTGCCCCTCCAGTGTGGCAGGGCAGGGGCATGGAGTCCTGGGCTTTCCTGTGGGAGATGCAAGGTCTGAATCCCGCACTGTCCCATACCTGATCCTTCACAGGAGTCACGTAGCCTTTCTTTCTCCAGTCCACAGATTCGGGCACATCCCCAAACAGAGGCTCCTGGAACACTGCCCCCCTCTGGAGCTTCTGGTATTGAACGCTGTTCCTCACTTGCCTGAATTCTTCATTAGTCTTCAAGGAAAGGTAAATAGAACATTGAAAGGTCAGGAGATGGTTTTGTGAGGAGCTGAGGCGAGGAAGCGCAGAGTGAAGCGCCCCACACACACACACACACACACACACACACGCACCATGTCCCCGAAGGCGTTCATGGCCATGGTGAAGCCATGCTTCCCCTGGCTGTACTCCTCGTTGTGCTGCTCGATCATCCTCATGTTCTTCTCCCACACCGCTCGCCTCCATCCTTCTTCATTCTAGAAGCAAGCACAGCTGATAGTTTTTATTTCTATTTAAAACTCAACCCATCTCCCCAAGGGGACACCTGCTGACATAGGTGGAAGAGAAACCATGGCCCGGCAGGGCTTCCCACTCCTGTGAGCTGGTCTCCAGGCCCAGACACCACTGAGTGCACCACAGGGCCCTCGGGTCACTGCCTGCTAAGAGCTGGCCTCTAGAAGCTTCTCTCTGGCCATAAACTGTGACCAGCGAGGACCACTTTCTGCAGGGTCCCCCCGGACGGTGTCCATGTCACCCACCGTGCCGTAGGTTTTCCCGTGCTTTGCTTTCCACTGGTGCCATTGTGCATTTAAACCATACTCAAGGGCTGGAGCAGCGGAGAGTGCCGGGAAGCCAAGGAGGACCAGGAAGAGAGAGGGACTCATGCTTCAAGCCCTGGAAAAGCAAAAGAAATGAGGGAATTCAAATATTTAAATTTTTCCTCCCAAGAATTGACCCAAGGCCAGTAGAAGAGGCTAAGGATGTAGCTGGATTAAAACACTCCAGTGGGAGTATTTGGCCACCAATGGAAAGCAGCCTGTCCACAGCCCTAGGGACTGAGACGCTGAATGGAATGATAGTTCAGGTTTAAGAACCATGTGAAGGTACCTGATGATTTAAAACCTTAAAACAACAACTAGGAAATTAGGAGATAGTTGGTCCAGGTTATGTACCAAAGCTACTGAGTTCACCTAAGCTAAACTTCATTGAGGCATCTGATACCAAGTACAGACAAAGGGGTCCCCAAGAGTTGGGGGCCACTGGGCATCTTCTTGGGTGGAATACCTTTCTGTCTTGAATGCAATCTTTCTGGAATATTTTTCTAGGGAAGTAGGAAGAACAGCACCACAGGTCTCTCTGTCCCACACTTAGGACTCTGCCTCCAACATCCCCACTCACTACCCCAACCAGGAAACCAGGCCATGTGGCTAAGGCACTGGAAGTCACAGCTACCACATCCAGCCAGGCATGCCACCTGCTCCTACCCTCTGCACACACCGAAATTGGAGGACTTTACCTGGAAATGATGGGCAAGAGGGTGCTCCCGTTGGCCCAGGAGCAATGAACCCTGCGGTGACTGGGCGTGCCAGGGGTTCCACTTGACCCCTCCCTCCTGGCCAGGCCCAGGGTGACTGGCACAACCTGGGATTCCTGCATGGTCTGAGCCTCTCCTGGGTTCCCCGGCAACCGTCCCCACATCCCACCCGAAGGCTAGCAGAGGAGGGGAAGATGTTCTGTATCCTGGGAGTCCTGCCTGCGTTCTGGACCAGGGCCCCCTCTCCAGTCTGTTCCCAATATGCCTAGGCAAGGCCGAGGGCGCTCACCCGAGGTGGCCACACCCCACAGATACAACTCACCGGAAGTGGCAGAAGTCGGAACCTCTGGTCCAGAGGTACCTCATCTGGGCTTTAAAGACCCTGTCTGTGACCTTACCCGCCCCGCCCCCACCACCTGCACGCCCTGCGATTGGCTGGGTCCACTTCTGGGTGGAGACTCCAAGCGGGACTCCAGGCAATTTCGGGTTCAGCCTCTCCCCGAGGGCTCTGCATTCCCTGGACTGGGAGGAGCTGAGCAGGACACCCCAGCCCCAGGAAGGGAGGGAGCCATGGGTGGCGCTGGGCCATGGCTCAGGAAAAGGGCTCACAGCCAACCCTTGGTGGATTTTCAGCAAAACCTGGTTTTCCTTTAGTTCTGGAGGTTTTGGTTAAAATCTTCTGCAGTGCTGAAAGGCAGCACATTCCAGCCAGGTCGTTCCTGTTTAACCTACAGCTAGGGTGCAGCCGGTGGAAAAGCACAGACCCGTGACTTCGTCTCCCAACGTGAAGATGAGATGTAGCTGGGTTTAGAAGAATCTGACAACCCCCAGGGCAGTGACGAGATTGGCAAGGCGCGAATCTTGGGTGGGAGAAGAAACTGGAGGAAGGGTCCCTGAGGCTGGGAGGCCAGCGGTCATGCATCCCATCCTGGCTCCTCCCTTAGGATTCTTCTTTCCCCTGCATCTTCAGCAAAACCTACAGAAATGAGTTACTTGCAGGAAATAAAAAATGATTAATAAAAATTGGTTAGTAAAAAGTTAATAAAAGGGGGGGAAGCAACTGAGAACTTTGGGAACTGCTTTGATTTCCCTCTGTGTTTTGCAATCTTTTCCTCAGTCTACATATTGATATTTAATTCAAGAAATTTACTTTAATGGCAGCTAATGTTAGAATTTAAGATACAGAGTATGGGAAAACATTTGGGGTGTGTGTGTGTGTGTGTGTGTGTGTAATATGTAGATATTTGCTCTTATAATTAAGGAATTGAGGAACACAGCCCAGAAACATTCTAAACCTTTTTCATTTTTCTATTATTATTTTAAAAATTCATTGTAGGACTGGGGATGTAGCTGAATGATAGAGTCCTGGTCTAGCATGTGTGAAGCTCTGGGTGCAATCCCCAGTACTGTTTTTTTGTTGTTGTTTGTTTGTTTGTTCATTTTGCTTTGTTTTTTAAGTGAGAAGGAGGAAAAAAAAATATTTATGGGAAAATATCATGTCCATGTTTCCCCAATAACTATTTTTATGCATATTTTGACTTCTTGAGTAAAATAGGGCATGCTGATTTGTAAGCTTATTTCTTTTTTAAAATTTCTTTATTTATGTTACAGTAGAGTGCATTTTGGCATATTGAACACAAATGAAGCACAATTTCTCATTCCTCTGGCTGTACATGGTGCAGAATCACTCCAGTAGTGTAATCATACATGTAGATAAGCTAATAATGTCTGTCTCATTCTACTATCCTTCCCATCCCCACAGCCCCACCCCTCCCCTCACTCCCCTGTACACAAACCAAAGTTCCTTCATTCTGCCTATTCCCCACCCCACTATGGATCAGCATCCACTTATCAGAGAAAATATTTGGGTTTGGGGTTTGGGGGATTGGCTTATTTTACTTACCATGAAAGCCTCCAGTTCCATCCATTTACCTGTAAATGCCATGATTTCATTCTTCTTTAAGGCTGAGTAATATTCCATTGTGTACCACGTTTTCTCATCTGTTGAAGGGCACCCAGGTTGGTTCCATAGTTTAGCTATTGTGAATTGAGCTGCTATAAACATTGATGTAGCTGTGTCACTGTAATATGCTAATTTTAAGTCCTTGGGGTATAAACTGAAGAGTAGGATAGCTGGGTCAAATGGTGGATCCATTCCAAGTTTTCTCCACACTGCTTTCCATAATGGTCCACCAATTTGCAGTCCTACCAGCAATGTATGAGTGTACATTTTCCCCAACATCCTTGCCAACACACATTATTGTTTGCATTCTTAATAATTGCCATTCTGACTAGAGTGAGATGGAATCTCAGTGTAGTTTTGATTTGCATTTCTCTAATTGTAAGCTTATTTCTACTTAAGATTCAATTAATAACTCAACTAAAAGAAGCATAATCAAACCTATGATATTTTTCACTGTGGTAAAAAAATTAACATAAACATTACTGTGCTAACCATTTTTATGTGTAAATTTCAGTGATATTAGGGATATCCTCATTTCTGGGCAGCCATTGCCACCATAGATCTCCAGAACTTTTCCTTCTTTCTCAACCCCAACCTCTGTACATATTACATAGCAATTCTCACTCCTGCTCCCCCAGACCTAGAACCCACCATTCTATTCTCTGTGTGTATGAATTTGACTACTGCTAAGGGTTGAATGTCTGTCTCATCCCCAACTCACATTGAAATTTCATTGCCATTCTAACAGTATGGAAAATTAGAGCCATTAAGAGACAAGGAGACCCCAACAGAGCATGTGTCAGACTTCCCTTGTTTTTTTAAGGTGGAAAATCTTCTATTGCATGTAGGTATCATATTAGAAGCTTATCGGTTCATCCCTTGATGTACTTTTGGTTGCTTCCACATTTTGCTCTTGTTAATGATGTCAACTGAGGTGTACAAATATATTTTCCAATTTCTGCTTCTTTGGGTCATAGATTCAAAAGTGGAATTGCTAAATATATAACTCTGTTTAATTTTTTCCCATGTTGTTCATAGTGGATGCACCATTCTACTAACCCCCAGCAGGCCACAGGGCTCTGGTTTCCAGAAACCTCATCAAAACTTGTATATCTATCTACCAATCTATCTATCTATCTATCTAGTTGGATAGAGAGATATAGATACAGATATAGATATATAGATATAGATAAGGTAGATATAGATAGATATAGATATATAGAGATAGAGATAAATATTATATATCTTTAATAGATATTTTATTTGCCTAAAAATAGCCATTTAATGTGTATTAAATGGTGGTATCTCATGGCTCTGATTTGTATTTATCTAATGATTTATGTTATATGTTATAAAGCATCTCTGCTTCTGCTTATTGGCCATTTGTATCTCTTCTTTGGAGAAATGTCTATTCACATCCTTTGCCCATTATGTAATGGTTTGTTTGTTTTGTTATTGTTGTTGTTGAATTCTAGGAATTCTTTATATATTCTGGTATTAATTCCTCATCAGATGAATGACTTGCAAATATTTCCTCCAATTCTGTGGATTACTTTTTTAACTATGTTGACAGCATTATTTAATACAAATTTTGACTTGATGCAATTCAATTTATCTACTTTTTATTTTTTGTTCTTTTTTACATTACATCTCAAAATCCTGACAAAATCCCATGTCACAAAGCTTTTCCCCTGTTTTCTCTTATTAGCAGAAAGAACAGCTCTTGTTCATGGGCACAAGAACTCCTCTTCTGCAAAGCAAGTCATAAACACTAGAAATATTTCTCTAGCCCCCCTCTTGCCTGTCTGTCCAGGAGCTGGCCATGCAGGAATTCTCCAACCTGGCCTGTCTGATAATAGGGTCCACCCCTCTGGAAAGAAGCTGCAGCGAGGTCAACAAGAATCTGGACAGACAGGCTGTGGGCTTGCCCATCAGAATATGCCCGTTTGTGAAATCACGTTCCTCCACCGAGGTCAGAAACCTGAGCATAAAAATAGACAGTTTGCCCCAGGTCTCTGGATCCTTATCTCTGAAGGCTCTCATGTCACATAAAACTGAGTGAATAAATTTGTTATATTTCTTTTGTTATATAGAGTGTCAAAAAAGACTCTTATTATGGGGAAGGAAAGAGATGACACCTGTCTGCCCTTACAAAACCCAGCATGACCAAAATCAAAAAGTAAACCAAGAAAGATTTAAATTCAGAAGGAAGGGAGGAGGATACTTAGGCAAGAGAATGTTTGATATTATTGCCGTAAGTCATTGAAGCACCTCTTTATACAAAACTTGTTATATAATGTAACAGAAAGAGGTGATATGCTGACCATTTGGGGTTTTTTTTTTTTTGGGGGGGGGGGGTTGCACCAGGGATTGAACCCAAGAGCACT